AATGCGGAGAAGTTGCGGTCCGTGTCGTCAGTGACGTGAGTGATGGATCCCAGTGTGCTAACTATCATGGAATTGAATACTGACTTGATGCCTGCAGCGTACTCACCAGACCAGTGTGAAGATTGACGACGACGACGGCCACTATATAGTGGTTCCGGATGTCGACCTAACTCCTCAATGTCAGTCTATCCGTTCTCTAGCAATATTCTCGCACGGCACTCTAACCGTTGTATAGATCAAATAAGAAGGCTTCTTGGACAAGGCACCTTCGGCAAAGTCGTTGAGGCTCGAGACCGTAAACGGTCAAAGCTTGTCGCAATCAAAATCATCCGAGCCGTACAAAAGTATCGGGACGCATCTAGGATTGAGTTGCGAGTACTTCAGACGCTGAAGGCCAACGATCCGGAAAATCGTAATCGATGTATTCATTTACGAGACTGCTTCGATTTTCGCGGGCACATCTGTATAGTAATGGATCTGCTGGGCTCGAGCGTCTTCGATTTCCTGAAAGGCAACAACTTCGTTCCCTTCCCAAACAGTCAAATACAGAGCTTCGCTCGCCAATTATTAACAAGCGTCGCCTGTGAGTAACAGCTCTGATAAATCTTGTAGGCTATTTCACGCTGACAGTACCAATCCAGTTCTCCACGATCTAAATCTTATTCATACTGATCTCAAACCTGAGAATATCCTCCTCTGTGATAGCGCCTATCAAACCTTCACCTACAACAGGCGGATCCCTTCATCAACTAATGGAACAAACCGACAAGCTACACAACGCAAGGTCTTACTGGATACCGAGATCCGTTTAATAGATTTTGGATCGGCCACCTTCGACGATGAATATCACTCGTCCGTTGTGTCTACACGCCACTATCGTGCCCCCGAGATCATACTCGGCCTCGGCTGGTCCTTTCCGTGCGATATTTGGAGTATCGGATGTATCCTGGTGGAATTCTTCACCGGTGACGCCTTGTTCCAGACTCATGACAATCTTGAGCACCTAGCCATGATGGAAAACGTATGTGATAGCCGAATTGATACCCATCTCGTACAGATGGTCAACAAATCGGTATCACGCAATAGCAGCAACTCCCCCGCCAAGTACGTTTCAAAAGCACGTATGGAAATGAGAAAGTCCTCTGACGCGAGAGCCAGGTATTTTAAACGTCTAAAACTAGATTATCCTACCGCAGATACGACGAAAGCGTCTAGGCGATTTGTCCGGAATATGAAACGGCTAAGCGTGAGTTAACACGTACCATCATAAGGTTTTCTATCTAACACGATAGTAGGATATCATACCGGCTACAAGCCCCTTTCTTCGGCTCTTCTTAGATCTTTTACACAAGATCTTTGTATACGATCCGGCAAAGCGAATCACAGCTCGGCAGGCTTTGGCACATCCGTGGTTTCGAGAAGCTGCCATCCCCGACGACGGAACAGAGGCTTTAAAAATCCGATTGGAACGTGCGAGGGATACCGAGTACCATACTTCTCGAGTTCCTGTCGCGGCATAGGAGAGCTATCATACCCCTTCACCAAACGTTGTTAATATCGAAGGAAAAGTGTACATTTCACCAGGGCTTAAGTTTTATGAAGCATGGGTTGGCGGGTTATGATGCCCATTTCTCTATCAGCGTGCATGAAGGGTAGTACCCGAGCGGAGTTTTGACCAGCATTCAACGGTGTATCCAAGGTAATGCCGACACTTTACATAGAGAAATTTGTCAAAGGACAGTCATGATCAAAGGGCGTTGACGTAATGCGTCTCCTCAATATATACTTTGCATCGAGCAATGTTATTGTTGCCAGCACAATCCACTGCACATTATGAATCCACGCTTGATTCGTCCCTGTTTGCCAACCGAGAATTCGATCGAGCATAATTATCAGCTATTTCGGTAGTCGGGGGTATATGGGCTGGTTTTTGCTAGTAAGTATATCCCCCCCGCCTCATGCTAATATCCTTTCTATTGAGTAGGTTCTCTGATAGCCCTGATCTACTATTCTGTCCTCAGACTACCTGTTGCGTCTGCCATGATTCCCAGCGTCGAAACGATATACATGTTTATGAAGCAAGTCGATTTCGTTCGAAACAAAGCATTCATTCGTGCAGATTGTTGTACAACTTGGGATAAGACGACAAAGGAATCGGATGGCTTTGAGAAAAGACGGTCCTTGTCACATTGTTCCGAAGCAAATCTATATATAGCGAGCCTATTCCGCTCGCTACGAGCTTTGGTCGACTTATTCAATCCAATTTGCTAACCTACATACCTACAACTCATTTAACAGCACACAAATTTCGTTGCTGCTCGTGAAATCACATCATTCAATTAGATTGGCTTGTTGCATACTGATCATGAATATTGGAATCAAAGATTTATCAGACGATCTCGTCGTCAGCATCACCAACGTGCTTGCGCGGCGTCCCGAATATGGCATTGCTACACCTTCACCACGGTGGCTCCAAAGGCAAGAGGAGAAAATAAAGCATGTCCCGAAGGAATTACTAAGACCGTCAGGCCTCAAGCGCCTCGCGATTAAGATTGTCGACAGCATCGACCCGAACATTATAGACCCGCAGGCGGTGCTCTGCAAAACGCATTCTGCCCTCAACCCCTTTTTAATTCGAAGACTTTTTATTGCAGTCGCGTATGAAGTCACAGTTTATACAGACATCCTGCGCTTATGGCAGAGCCAAGCCCAGGAGCCCGGGCTTTCCGCTATGGTAGGGCGACTTGACTCGATCGTGGCATTGTGGACTCCACCACAGCTTTTCCACGACATTTACGGACACACGCCTTTTGACGCTCATCATGTCTTCGTTAAATCTGGGTGTGAAGCCTGCTGTCTCGCGGCTATAGGTGCCAGCGGCCGAGCCCTGGCAGATCTTCGTGCGGCTCTTGTTGATCGCATGGAACGGCGCATGGGAACTGGGGAAAAGTCCTCGGGGAAAAAGCCTCGTCTATATCGTATCGTGGAAGCTTGGATCGACCAGCTCCGAAAGAAAGACGAGAGCGAAAACCGGGCCGAACAATGCAGAGCTATGAGTGAAGCTTTATTGACGGAGTTGAGGAGGACCAGACATCAGCTTAAAGCGTGGCGAGCTCAGCAACACGACGCTGGGCACCGTCCCGTATATAACGAGCTTAAAATAACCCCCTCGGGCGCCCAAATCGCTCCCGTCTCCCGCCATTCTGGCCATCACAGACGGACAAGAGACGGAATTCCGATTGCCGTGGTCGATGTGAATGGGACTGAAGGCTTAAGAAGGGCCGCCAAACCTCCCAGTGAAGGTGGGAGTATTTATCGTCCCGATAGCATTTCGGGGTATTCTCAAGTGCTTGGGGGCAAGCGAGGTTCTTATGACTCTACTCCCAGCGCTTACCCTCAGCCTACTGACCCTCGGCCTGCTGCCCGGGGACCTCCCCAAGAAGACGGATTTAGCGAGGCTGGGCCGACGCCGTCATTTCTCCATCGATTTGAACAAGAAATGTCTATCCATGATGATTATGATCCCCCTGTCGATGTTGAAGACAACGAGCAGGACGAGAAGAATTATATGGAGAAAAGCCGATCGAGAGTAGAAGATTGGTTTACTAACAAATTATCCCATACTCAAGTACAAGGTAATGGAGACTTTGCAAAATCCAAGTTGTATATGGTCCATCCCGCTTTCCGCTCTGCTTCTGTTGCTCATTCCGCCATGCCCACTCCGCTTCGCCTTAAGAAGGATTGTGAAGTTGGTCAGGGCGGTGAGGAGTCAACAGTATGGACGGATTGCAGCGTATACACAATTGAGGGTCCCTGGAAGGCCGATACAGAGGTACCACCAGTGCCAAAGATACCGTCGCAGTACAGACATGGCGAACGCTCAGGACACCGTTTCTCTCACAAACACCACGACAGAAGCGGGGACCCGGCACCCACGAATTGGCCTGCTCCACCAACTAATTATAACTCGATAGGCGTGTCGGAGCAATACCTCAGGGAACGCTTCAAGCCGCGGTACGAAGACGTGCAGGAGAATCCTCCGATATCGGCACCGACGTCCACAGCGCCAAGTACGCCGAGGCCCGTGAGCTCGATATACAGCATGCAGAGTAGCACGACGGCAGCGACATCTATATCACCGGGGACGCCGACACGGGGAGATGATGAACGTGCCCGACGTCCTGATTCTAGACCGCAGAGCGGTAAGAAGATGCCGACAGATAGATCTAGCGCTGCCAAGCGGACGCATGACTCTGCATCTAGACATAAATCTGGAAGCAAACATGGCACTACATCTGGAAGTAAGTCAGGGGGGAGTAAACTCAGAGTCCCTGAGCACCAGCGACATCATGCTGCCTCTGTTCAGCCCTCGACTGTGGCTACGCAGTGGGATGACTTTATCGGGAAGATGTGATGAATGTGATGTGATCGTCGCATTCATTACATACTTCTCTTACACACCGTACCTACCTAGGTACGTCTTGTCTTATTCCCTTTGTCGTAAGTGCATTGTTGTTTTATAGTGCTTTAGCCTTGTTCAAGCCGCTTGCTCTTGCAGGCTTGAAAATATAAAAGAAAATATAAGTAAACTATAAGTAAAACATTTGTTCTTTATTTGTCCTGTTCTTGTCTCTGCTCTGTGGCGTCTATATGCATGATGTGTTGATCTACCGAGTTGGATGTGTTGGATGTGTTGGATGCGTTGGATGTGTTTTGGTGTAGATGTAAACTTTGTGATATTATCAAGCTCCCGAGTGGACATGGGCTTGCGCTTGATCAGGGGCGACATGCTTCTAGGTAGTAGAAATTAGCATAATGTAAATAAATAGCATTGCTGACATACCTTCCGCGATACATAGGCAGTTTGTACATATATTGATGTTGTAGAGGCAGCAGTCACAGGTAATCTATGCAGTATCTGTTGTACCTGCCTTTACCCTATATAAATTCGCATAGCACCTTTCCGTCTAACGTGAAACTATCTAGTCTTCGTATTCTAGGGGCGCATGGTCTAGAGGTATGATATTTGCTTTGCATCCCTGATCCAATTCAGAAAACATGCTTGCAAAGGGTCCGGGGTTCAATTCCCCGTGCGTCCAGCTTTTTGCTTTTTTTTTTTGTTTATACCTCCTCTTTCATAGTAATAGTCTGCTTTGGTTGTCCAGGGTATCAGAGCTTTTGTTCTTTTTTATTAAATAATCTTCTCTATTAAAATCATCTTTTGAGCAATTAAAGCATAGTTTTTATTTACTGAGCTAGGTATTATAGTTAGTTAGTTCTTCGCTCACAAGTTGCACTGGTGGAACTATAGCGACTTCCGCAGTGCAATTGATGCGTGGGCTAAAAGCGGCATGCTGTTCAAGTTTTAAGACAATGCCCACCAGCCATCTGCGGGGTTTAGAGAGGATCGTGACTTTATGATAGTTACTGTATGGAACGCGAAGTGTATTATTACTTTTGATCTCCTAATGGTTTCACACCTCTCATCAAGCATTCAACATAAACCCGGATCCCGCCCGAGGCTAGAATCTTTTATCATTGGATAGCATAGTAGACGTGGGGTCTAGTGCTGTTGTAGTAGCGTGTCAACCAGTATGCAGGAACCCGGGCAGTAAGGGTTTCATCAACACCGCCCTCCCAACAGACGCGTTCGTCTACAATTAACGGTTGAAGTGAATTGTTTCTCCTCAAAAACCTTATTTTTTTCTTCTCTCCCGGCATAGTATGGGTTTTGACAGTCCAATAACCTAGAGCCACCCCCTTCATATCTCATTCAAGGCGAATCGGTCACATAGCAGCCTTCTCCAGAACCAAAGCACACAGGGTAAAAATGGTAGACGAGGATCCGACTATCACCTCATGGGAAGACGACGACGCCTTCGAGTCCTTCGAATCCACCCAGTTCGAAGGCGAGATCGCGTGAAAGGGCACCGCTGTCTGCTGGCCGAGATCATCAGTGCCGAGAACATCATCCGGCCTCGCCTCGTATGTCGCGACAGAGAGGGCAACGAATTCATCGTCGCCTTCTACCACGACGACGAGGCGGACATGCCGCAGATCTTGAAGCATTTCAAGCCTGGCAATACCATTGCCATGTTTAACGCTGTTGGTCATTTTTTTCCTGGATGGGTCCATCGGGGTTCGTGTGGAGAACTCCCATGAGTGCATGGTATGTGGACCTTTTTCACCTCCTTGCCTGTGTGCGGTGTACAGAGCTAGTTTCTTTGCGGATTTTAATGAGATGCGATAATACGCAGATCATGCCCCTGAAACTCCGTGACGCCATCACCATGGACTGGCAAGCCAAGGAATTCGCGAATCGCGATGGCACCCCTCGGAGGTGTCATGGCTGCGGCAGCAAGGCTAAGGCCGATCTCAGCAAGTGCGGTCGCTGCGCGCTCTTCTGCTACTGCAATCGGGTAAGTCTCGCGTCTTCTAGCATGTGTAGCCATTCCTGGCTGGTCACGGCGGTGGTTATCCCAAAAAGGGAAGAATGTGCTGATTGGTGGGTAGGATTGTCAAACGAATGGTTGGCAAGACCACAAGAAGTTCTGCAAGGTCTTGAAGGATGAGAACGTGAAGAAGGTACTGATGCTTGACTTCGAAAACACGGACGACGGTGTTATTTCGTTTTCTTAGTATGGCTAGCGGTAGGGGTGGTCGGTTTCACGAGACGGGAAAGACAACCGCTTAGATTTCGGGATTGGACGCCACACGGGGTCAAAACGCAATGTCTTTCTGGGTGTCCAGACATGTGGCAATGTGGGGGAAAAAAAAAAAGAAAAAAAAAAGAACAGGAGAATGGAGTTGACTTTATGCATGAGAGAGTTTCATCGCTTCTCGACTTTTCTCGTCTGATTTCAGTCTGGTAGGAAATGGTTAAGAAGAAGCGAGGTGTATCGCTTGGGAACTGGAGTTTTAATTAAGAAAGACCAGCATATCCTATTGTTAAGGCAGCTAGAGTCCCAGATGTGAACGACTCATCGCATAAGAAGCTTGAGGCCACCACAATAAGTCTGCGCCCATGGCTCTCAGTCGCAAACTAAGGAGACTAGGTCGGTAAATATAAGTAGAATGACCTTGATAGAAGCGGTTTCAGAATTGAGTTCTGAGTTTCCGATCTACGCTTGTGCAACGATCTGGCGAGAATAGATATTGTGTAGCGATTATTTTATAGCGATTATAACTTGAGGTTCTCAACTTAGTCCACTTGAGGAACATAAGTTGAAGGCTATGATATACAACAGAAAGTATGACGACAGCCTACTAACGGTTCAAAATCTACTCAGCTGTCACGGTCTTGGCCCCAGGTTGAAGTACATCTGTGTAGTTAACCAAGGACCAGAATACTGAGGGTCCCGGCCTTTCGCAAAATCACTTAAGAGGTCCCCAAGTAACAGTGAATACTCACCAAGGATATATTGGTGGTTGAACATGGAGCCTCTAATGCCAAAACCAATTATCTTCAGCAGTCACATACCTTAACTACAGGCTTGAGTTTAACAAGTTTCACCTAGACTTATTGCACGAGACACCTACCACGTGGAAAGAAGACCAGAAGCTGTGATGGCCATCCGAACATTTTGGAACCAAAGGTCAGATTAAAAGGGAATTGCAGCGTTGCGGTGTCGTAAGCAAATACTTAGTGCTCTGATGCCGCACGAAGAGTCCCAAAAGGTTACTTTTCGATGTTATTCAAAGTCCAGCTGAAGCAGGAAAGTGGACGGAAAACAGCCGCTGCGATCTAGGGGTCTTATATGAGAGCACGGCGAGGCCCATCTGAGGGGTTAGCGTAACGTTACCAAACGGGTAACAACTCTGGTAATCAAGGATTACCTGTTTCTGGTCATCATTGTTACAAGTCTTATAACGTAATGAAAGAAAAAATGATAGTTTAGGAGTGCTTCATCTTATCTCTCTCATTCGCTAGGGGTTAGATTACATCCAGCGAGTTGGAGAGGCCTATGTTTTATAACGGGAAAACATGTTCAAAGTAGAAAGTATCATTGGCCCGAGCGGAATGACAGTCCACAATGCTTTATACATCTTACGCCCAGTGAGGTAGCGGTCTCGACCAAGTGCCATCGTTTGTGGGGGTGGTGGGCTTAGATAATGCGGTTAATTCGTCAGTTTGCACGGAGGCTAAAGAACTGACGCCCCAGTCCCTAGATACGGGCCAGCTGTTACACTACCCTGCCCTTATATAACCTGCCGAATCTGGAAGTTCGCGTCCACCACATCATGCGCTGAAATACTAGTGCTCTCTGGCCGCGTAGGCTTCGGTCTTGGTTTGGCAGGTGAATTGCCATGCTGTGTGCCCCTGGGCTCATTGCGCGCGATAACGGGCTTGCTGTCGCTAATTTTTGCACAACATGAGAGCTGTATAAGTACAAGAAGCGGCTACCAAGATTCTTCCGCCAAGATTCTCTGCGTCGGTTCATCAGTGCTTGTCTTGCTTGGCACCCATTCCCTTTTCGCATCGCTCTCGTGACCTGGGAGACGTCTTACAACAATGACGATCAGGCTTATTTCATTAGCTCTTGCGGCTGTGCCGTTCGCCAACGGCCGCTCTCTTTTTGAGCGCGCTACGTGCTCAAGCACGGTAGAGAGCTGTTCCTCCTCTGCCAGCTCCTCGTCTGTTAGTTCGTGCTGCGTTAATAAACCAGGTGGTCAATTGCTTCAGACACAGTTTTGGGATACGGACCCTGTTACCGGACCCAGCAACTCTTGGACAATTCACGGGTTATGGCCCGATAATTGCGATGGAACCTACGACGAGAACTGTGACTCTTCTCGCGAATATACGGATATAACGACCATTCTCCAAAACAACGGCAAGTCGTCGCTGGTGACTTACATGCAAGAATACTGGCAAAGCAATTCTGAGACGCCCGAAGAATTCTGGGAGCACGAGTGGGCAACTCACGGAACCTGTGTCAGTACACTCGATCCGGATTGCTATTCAAGCTACACAAAAGGACAAGAAGCTGCAGACTTCTTCCAGATCGTTGTCGATTTGTTTAAAACACTGGACACTTACAGTGCTTTGAGTGCTGCTGGCATTACCCCTTCCAGCAGCAAGACCTACACATCCGCACAGATACAGGCTGCCCTCCTGAAGGTCACTGGAAAAGCTGCAGTTATCTCTTGCAGCAATAATGAACTATATCAAGTATACTACGGATTCTTCGTCAACGGACCTTTGCAAAACGCTGATTTCGTGCCATCAACGATTGGTAAGTGGAGCTCAATTGAGTTAGAGAGAGAAGATCCTCCTTGGGCCTTGAGGCAATCATGATCTTTACTTTTGATGCAGTTTTCTGGCTTATCTAATGGTCGATAGTTGGCGACACATCGAACTGCCCCAGCAGTGGCATCAAATACCTGCCCAAGAGCGGTACCGGAACAGCTCCAACTAGCACTACGACGGGTATGTACAACCCTAATCCCTTACTCTCGCGCATTTTTGAATTCTTCAAACTGACAAATCGCAGTAAGTTGACACTGAATCTCCCGCGTAGACCCGAAGACATGTCGTATTCGATATGATCACTGCAGGCCAAATGAAATGCAGGGAACAGTATGCTGACGCATTTCATCATAGGGCTCTTCGCCTACTAGCACTCCAACGGGCTCATTTTCTGGGTCAGGGTAAGTATTTATCAATCCTCCAAAGACATTGAGACGTCGAAATATTCGATCTTTATGTTGGCTATTCGACTTATAATAACACTTTGACAGTTACCTGAATGCGTACTACAACGGAAATGAAGATGGATGCCTTATTTCTGCAGGCACATGGTATACCACAGGAACATGCGCGACATACACTGCAACTGCTTCCGGTAACTATTACACAAGCCCTCTCATTCTCTCTCTCTGGGACACAGTTCTTAAGCTGACACCGCTTTTCTTTAGGTTCCGGCTTTACTCTTAAGTCTTCCAAGGGCAACTGTGGCGTCGTTAGCGGTGCATTTACCTGCGGCTCGGGAGTTAGCGCAACAGTGTTTAGTGTGAGTGCTATCTATTTTTGTCTTCATCTTGCAATATAGTGAATCTTCTGACTGATATGATATTAGGCCTCCTCGGAGAAACTTGC